TTGTGTGTGTTGCCGTCTTGCTCGTGGCGATACTGCACTAGCTAGTATTCGGGCGGGCAGGAAATTTGCTTGGGATGGGGCAGTTCTTCCAACCAAAGCAACAGGTAAATAATTAAATTTGATCCTCCACTTGATGACTGTTTGTAGATTTGAAGTTGATTGAATGCATCAATGTTAGGGTTGGTGCAGATGTTGGATTTGAAACACGATGGTATTATTCAATTCTTGGATTTGAAGAACAAAGCACTCTTCGATGGATCTTTTGCAATACCTTTGTTTGTAGAAATTGTACCATACCAGTGGTCCGATTGAAAAATAGCCTATTAGATAGTCTTTATCCGTACTAAACACCGTTAAACTCTGGTTAAAGATAAAAAAAATACTCTGTCATTGACTTTTGCGGACAATTTTCGGTAGATTTTAAAATCTTTTATCGAAGCAAAGACATATGTTGAGTATCCGGTAGGCGTTCCTTCTCGCTATGAAATTATTGAACTAGGGCTAAACCATAGTAAGAAGAAATATTGGTTCTTTTACGGTACAACATTCCATATGGATTTATAATCATTGATTAATACAAAGTCGAGTTTGACTAATTGTTGGTCATTGTAATTATTTTGGGCTTTTTTTTTTCGTGTCTAGCTTTTAGTTTAGAAAATGTTGTTTTGGTTTAACTTCATATATCAAAATAGTGATCTGCAACTAAATGAACAATCTAGTGATCTGCATCTAAACTCGACACTGTTCTCACAAATTCCTCACCGTTTTGCTTGGCATAGAGCAGATCAAGGTTTGGGATGCTGGCTTCGATGAAGTGTGGTTTGATCTTTGATGTCAGCTTTTAGAACCAAGACAAGATCCATGTTGTCGTGGCGGCAGAGAAGCTTTAGAGGTCAAATGGACTGGACTTTGTGATAATTTGTTCAGTATAATTGGTGCTTGCAATCTATGGATATTTGGAGGTCGGTTGATTTGTCATATATAAGCCAGGGTAAATTGCAAGATTGGTCAGTACTAAAAAAATTTATATCTAAATTTTTTTATTACATCCGTGATGGTCACTAAAGTGGTTAAACGTTTCAGGTTTGTTCACTCTCCCGTCTCTCCGTCAGTTTCCATTAATTTTCATCAACACTATCAATATTTTGCTGACGTGTTAGCAAAAACGTTGATTCAAGATATATATATGGACTTAACTTATGAGGAGTTAGTAATCTCATGTGTTCATCTTATTCGTCCAAAAATACCCTCTATTCAATCTTGTCCGTTAACTAAAAAAATGTAGCACGCTAACTCAACCCGCTCTCAACCTGTGCCTTTGCGATTACACTAAGATAGTTAGCTAGTCCTTTCTTCACTTTCGACGCCCTTAACTACTAGTCAACAAGGTCATTAGTCCACCTTCGCCGGTCTTCAAAACTTTTGTATACAAATTGTATGAGTGCCAAATCTACACGTATCTCCTTTGCTTCTAGTACCACATTTATCACTGACCCCTTCCATTTAGTCCATACTGATTTGCGGGGTTCCAGCCCTGTGATGTCTTGTCGTGAGTACAATTAAGTACTATTCGTTGTTTGATAATTCTTATTGTACAATAACAATGGAAAAGACAGAGTACATGATGATATTTCTAATTAGTAAACTGTAACTAATCATATCCATCATAAACAAAAACAACAAAACAAAAAGTGTAACTAATCGTAGATCTGCCAGAACTGAATGAAACAATTCGCACCATCACCTTTTGAGCCAGTTGTAGTTTTGCAATTATCAAGCAAGTATTTGGCCGAGTCGTGGAGACAAGTTTTGCAGACCGACTCTTGCGTACTATAGCAAATAGCGGTTCCATGAGCAGAACCCAGCTTGTTATTTGGAGACCAGGCTTCGTAGAATTGATTCTTCTGCGACGGCGTCTGTTCCACCAATAGGCCGACAACCCTCTCCACGTAGGAAGGGTATTTGAGATCAGTTGGAAAATAAATGCCGCAGCCATCAGCCTTCGCATGTGTAAAGCCTTCCACCAGAAGCACGACAGCCACCGCCGCCGACGCCGAAAGTACGACGCTTGAGCAGCAGAACGCCATTGTAGGTGTTATTATATCGATCTGATATGATTGGCGAATTCCTTATATATACACAAACGGTTGTACATGACTAGCGCGTTATTGGCGCTATCCGATGATAATGATGATTCTGATCATATTATTTAATTAGTTGGCTGATCTATCATTTCATTTCAGTTCTTAAATGATTTAGTAATTCTGCCGTGCAGTAGACTACTACCTAGTTAGCCAGCTACAAGGAAGGGCAATGGTCAGATTCGTTGAGTAACTTTTAATTTTGTTGGGTTTTGGTTGGATTTGAACTGAATCCAAATTGGATAAACTCATTTGGGTCCAAATGATTATACGTACAAAAAGAGAATATTGGTCTTCTGATTAACTGCTTTCAACCCAATTACACATTTAATACTGGTCTTTTCACCTTCCTGCTTGTTTCATAGCAAAAGAAAGGGTTAATACCTTATTATGGCCTGAACTATGACCATGTAATCAACTTTGGCCAGTGGTTTGAGAAATTAACATCCTGACCCGATCTATGCAGCATATTGACAAAATTGGCCTGGAGCGTGGTTTGACCGTTTGTTTGGACGGTCAACACCGTTGACCGTTAGTCAACTGTCCAGGTCACTGCCATATCAACATAAAAAATTACAATTTCATTTTTCTTTTTATTTCATTTACAAAAATTGAATAATTAAAAAAAAAACAAAATCCAAAAATTTTGGCCCACCCATCCCCACCTTATCCCCTCACCTTCTTTCCTTTTGGATCAAACCCAACCCTATTCAACTTCTTCCTCCTTCTTCCCCGACGGCCTAAACATCAGCCTCGACAACCCATCATTCCTCCTTCAGCTTCTTTCCCTGCTTCTTCTTCTCCCCTATTTTTCGTTTTCAATCGAGACAGACACCATCAAGCCCAACAATCCCCTCCGAGACGGCGACGTGTTGGTCTCCGGCCGCCAAACCTTCTCCCTCGGCTTCTTCTCCCGCAAGAACTCAATCCGCCGGTACCTTGGGATATGGTACCACAACGTTTCGGAGCAAACCGTCATCTGGGTCGCGAACAGAGACGCTCCTCTCAACGACACTTCCGGTTTACTCTCCCTCGATTCCCGCGGCAATTTCGGTATATACGCTGCAAATGGAACTTCACTCGTCTGGTCGGCAAAACTCCCAGCTGGGAATTTCGCCGCTCGGCTTCTGGATTCGGGGAATTGGGAGATGTCAATCTTGGACACCTGCAAAAAGCTAAATCCTTGAGAGAAGTGAGGTTGAGGAGGCCTTCTTCAGGTAGAGATTCCAAGTCGCTGATATCCCAAAGGAGCAATCGGGTCAGCTTAGAGAGCGGAGTGACAAGTGCCATCCTCAGGGAAGAAGAGGAGGAGGAGGATGTTGTTGGAATAGAAGAATGTTGATCGATCAGCAGCCACTGGTTTCATCTTCATTGTCCGCACTAGTGCCTCTGTGCAGGGTCCCCACAGCATCAACTCGCCTTCAGCGCTGGGAAACAGAGGCATCCGAGTAAGCTTTGGGCAATCGAAAAATCCCAACCCAGAGAGTCGAGGGAAATAGGGCCACTCCTCATCTTCCGTTTCCTCTTGGTCTCCTTCCATTAAAGGGTCAAATCTATAATAATGATCATAACTACCATTGCTATCATTATTATTCCCTTGCTTCTTCTTCCACCAACATCCCTTCAGCTTCGGACAACTCTGAATGTATAGCTTCGCCACTCAAATTAATTTACGCCGTCGGGGAAGAAGGAGGAAGAAGATGGAATAGGGTTGGGTTTGATCGAAAAGGAAAGAAGGTGATGGGATAAGGTGGGGATGGATGGGCCAAAATTTTTGGATTTTTTTTTTAATTATTCAATTTTTGTAAATGAAATAAAAAGAAAAATAAAATTGTAATTTTTTTATGTTGACATGGCAGTGACCTGGACAGTTGACTAACGGTCAACGGTGTTGACCGTCCAAACAAACGGTCAAACCACGCTCCAGGCCAATTTTGTCAATATACTGCATAGATCGGGCCAGGATGTTATTTTCTCAAACCACTGGCCAAAGTTGATTACATGGTCATAGTTCAGGCCATAACAAGGTATTAACCCCAAAAGAAAAGACAAAACATTTTATTAGAATCGGATATCCATTTTGTTTCGAGTACCTAATGGCTAATAGGTCAATACTACATGTTCAATTTAAATTCGAGCTAAAAAGTTGGATATGAATCTATCCAAAAAAATAAAATCATCCAAAACTGATTTGATACATATACTACGATGGGTTTGGACAAGCTAACTATTAAATTCTTTTGTCATCCTATGCATGATTTTAAAACTAGTAAGTAATTACGTCTGAATTCGATGCTTACACGACTCTATTATTGCCTAGTGTGCTTTTGTGCACGATCTACTTCCCTGGCCTTCGTCGGTGAGCATTTATGCAGATCCAATATCCAGTCCAGTCCAGGCACAGCCGGGAACAATGCCCCAAGTGAAGGACTGCTTTTACAGCAAGAATCTTCGGAACAATAATCTTCTAATTATTTATATCTTAATCCTCCCTTCTGTACGTACTCGTCTTGATGTCACCGACACAAAGATTTATTTATTGGGGTGATACGTAATTACGTATTACTCCAAAGTTCATTTTTCTTCCGCAAGTGAGTTACGTAATTGGGTTGATACGTAATTAAGTATTACTAAAAAGAAAAAAATATATTGTTACGTAAGTGAGTTTATTGGAGGGAGATTGCTTATTGTATCAAATCGATAAATGATTATGGTTGTCGAAACCAGAAATCTAAATAAGGAGCTAAAATTTTACTCTAAAGAATTTGTATTCACGGTGAGTTAAAGTCTTACAACCTACTATATATGTTTCACTTATTACAAAATTTTTTTTTTTGACTGAAATCTGTATGAGCTTTATTAATCAGTTAACGCGGTTACATCGTCCAGCTGAAGCTGATTAAAAAGAAACCCCGGAGGGCTATCAAACCAAATCACAGTCTCATTCCAGTTCGACATGGCATGCGCCATTACGTGGGCGGCTTCATTAGCTTCCCTGCATATGTGATGCCACCTACACTCGCCTGTTTCTTGTAACAACCGCTTAACATTCCTGCAAATCACCCCTATCTCATCCTGCATCTCATGCGCCGCCTGCAGCTTATGGATAACAACTTGGCAGTCCGACTCCAGTACTACCTTCTGGAAATGCCCATGGACCGCCATTTGCGCCCCGAACTCGGCAGCCAAAGCTTCGGCTTCCTCCACCTTCCAGCTCCCAGGGACTCTCTTCGTCGCGGCCAAACAGAACCGGCCATTGGAATCCCGAATGACAGCTCCCAAACCAGCTCCCTCTTCACCCAATATGCCTGCATCTGTGCAAACTGAAACCCAACCTGAAGGCGGCCGTCTCCACCCTTTTCTCACCGTGGTCTCCATCTCTTCAACCTGTCTTCCTTGATGGGTTCTATAGTCTTCTAGTAGGTATTTTGCCCGCACCACTATCTCCTCTTCGGGTACTTTTGCCCCATTAAACAAATGGGCATTTCTTTCCTTCCAGAGATACCAGAGCAGAACACACCAACCTTCAAACTTCTCCCTACTTCCCACCTCCAAAGCCGTCTTAACCCATAGGTAAAAAGAATCTTCCTCCTTCTTCAGCATGATTTTGAGAGTTGATAGGTTTATAGCAGGGTTGGAAAGGAAACCCGGTCCCGAATTCTTGTCAAACCAGAAATTAGCCATCTCGGTTGCAACTAGGGCTGTCATTTCGGTTTCCGGTTAGCGGCTAACCGGCCGGTCTAACCGTTAACCGTGGGTTCGCGGCTAACCGGAAACCAAAAAAAATTGGGCACGGTCGGTTGTCGGAGGCTCTCCGTGGTTAGGCTGTTAGCCGAAAATCCGACGCCGGTTAAAACGGCTAACCGACACTAACCGGCAGGCCTAAACGACATCGTTTTTGCCTTAGATAAAACAACCCATCCCCAACCCTAGCGGCCTTCTTCCCCAACTCCCAAATCCCCAGCCGCCTCCCTCCAATCCACCTGCTCCCAACTCCAACCGCCTCGCCGCAACTCCGCCTCGCCGCCACTCCGCCTCCAATCGTCGTCGCCGCCAACCCATTCCTCCACCAGCTGAAATCGCCGCCGCACCGCTCGTTGGCCCATCATCTCCTCCCCTGCTTTCGCCAGAGAGGTCTTCACCACCCACGACGTCACCTTCGCCAACCGCCCCGTCACCGCCGGCAACCGGATCCTCTCCTACGGCCTCCTCGACATCGGGTTCGCCCCCTACGGCAGATACTGGCGCCACCTGCGGAAGATCTGCAAGTCCGACCTCCTCAGCGCCAGTCGGGTCGTTCCGCCGGATCCGGGAGGAGGCGCCGGCGGATCTGGTCGCTGGAATCGCCGCCGAATCGCGAGACGACGGTGTCGTGAATCTGAGCAAGAGGTTGGGGGAGATGATGTACGGGATCGCGGGTCGATTGGGACGGAGAAGAAGGATGGGAGCGGTAGCAACCGGCGGTCGCTGCTCTGGAAAGGAAGAAGAATCGAGATGGTGAAAGGAAGAAGAAGAATCGAGATGGTATTGGTGAGAGGGCGGTGCTCTGGAAAGTGGATCGAAAGAAGAAGAATCCAGAAGTGAGAGGGTGAGGAGTGAGTGGTTCAGAATTTTGTTGCTTTTTTTTTATAAAGGGTATTTTCCGGTTGGCCGGCTAACCGAGCCTAAAACCGAAGCCGACCGGTCAGTTGGCCGGCTAACCGTGACCACTCTCACGGTCGGTGGTCGGCAGGGGTGCAGAGTGGTTCGGTTTAACCGATAACCGGGATTTCGGTTTTCGGTTAAACCGAAACCGACCGACTGTCACCCCTAGTTGCAACCGGAAACCAATTTCTCATAAAACAAAACCGATTTGCGGGAACCGGATGGGACCGGATCCTGTCCGATCACGGGTGAAACCAGATCCAAATTCCATCCAAGTTCTAGTTTAACCAAATCAAATCATTTTCCACCTCTAGTTTATAGCCTCCCCTCCCATCAACGATGTAAAGCCAGTAGTTAAGACTTAAGAGTGTATAAAAGGGCTTTACCTCTTCGAATACCCATTCATACAATTACTAATACATCATCATCATCCCGCTAGCTAGCTAGCTAGCTAGAAGTATTTTATTGATTGTACGTTCTCCACAGCCATGGCGACGTCGTACCCTCCCTACAAATTGTTACGACGGGCAGCGGCAATAACAGTAGTTGTTTGTGGGTGCTTATTACTTGGCCATGTAGCGGCGGAATGTAGCGGAGACATCCCAAAGCTAGATCCCAACTACCCTTCTTATGTATCCACGGTTCTCACTACGCTGGTTGGACAAACTCCCGCGCAGACAGCGACAGCAACGCGCTCCTACCAAACGTGGTCTCCAGATAAAGAGGCCGGCTCGGTCAAGGGCATCGCCACTTGCTTTACTTCCGACGCCACGCGATGTTCTGTTTGTCTCAATCTCGCAGCATCCGCATTGGCTTCTTGCGTCTCTGCGTACGGATCCAGCAGTGGAGACGGCTGTCTCATCCAGTTCTGGCAAATCTATCGCTAGTTTAATTTTGGCAGCAGGAGGAGGAGGAGACATGATCTTGGTTGCCCGGCCGCCCGGACTGCAAGGTCGGAGATCGGTCGTCGGCGTACTAGGCAGGCTTGTGCGGACCGGCGCCGGTGGAACAGTTTTGCTTTTTCTTTTTTCATCTTTTCATTTTCGCTTCCGTTAATTCATGTCGTCGATGTCTAATCTTATATTATATGCTAGCTTCAAAGTGCGTGCTGGGTGTTCCATTCTGATTCTGAAAGAATGAGTACAAGAGCTTTTTTTTTATATGAATGATATAGGTTGCGTTTTTGTTGTTAGCTACTAATTAAGGGATGCCTGAGAGGCTGACACTTTCAGATTGCAGGTTAGTTGTATTGTCATTATACCAACTATTTGTTCGTACATATAAGACTATATTGAAACGGGAACGGATCAGGTCAGTGACTTTATGGTGAGTAATCATGAGTAACCTGTCCACATCAGCATGACATCAACATCCCTCTTTCTCCTGAAAAGCTTTTAATTTTCCTCTACTTAATCTTTGACGGATGATTTCTCACTTGTTTTAAGTCGAAATTTAATTTTTTTGCACAGTTAGATCAGATTAATTGTGTTTTTTAAAATGATATCCACTTTGATATATTTTTGGAACAAAGATTGTTAGTTCAACTATACTTCTTAGCTAGCTATAAGCGTAAATTCAACTCGATGGCCAATTAAGTTCCATATTTCAAAATTGCAAAGATTGTCAACCACTAAGATTGTCAATTAATAAGGATTCACAAATGAAAAATAAATTGACGAAATATGCGCGATAAATCAACTTTAGTTGAATAGTCTGACAACTTGCAAAGATTGTAACATTATAAAACAATAATTATCTATATGATTGGTCAAAGTTTGTGAAGTTTATTCTAAACTTTATAAGAATTTATAATCAACTATATAATGTAACACAATGATAAACAAATTTATATTCTCAATATTTCATTGTATATTTCATTCTTTTTTTTTTTTTAGAAAAGTGATAAACAATTAGGAGAGTTGACATACCTTGAACTTTAGTAACAAAGAGAAGAATGTCGATGAGCCTTGCATAATCATACTTTTTTGCAGAACATTCGACAAAGCCTCATGTTGAGAACGTGTAATAAACAAAACAAAAAAAAAACAATAATAAGAGAGCGGAGAGGGGAATACACAAGATGAGAGGAGGAAAGTGTTCTTTCTTATTCATGTCATTCCTTTAGCAATGAGTGCTCTATTTACAGAAATATATACATAACTCTTATAATTTCTTTTATCAATGCACATAAATGTGAGGTAAAGAGTCATGAATATGGTTCATTCTCATGATAAATGTAGGGAGTTAAATAGCTTCTCATATACCTTTCAATGTAAAATCTAATGGAAATCCAAAATACTCAATTATTTCATAATAGCCATTGCAAAGAGTTTGACTATGACAAATCGACAGTATAAAGGGTGTGTTTGTTTGTGCCTTTCCCTAAATTTGGGAATCATTTTGTCAAATTTGGAGCATGGTTAGTAAAATAAGGGGCGGGTAAATTACGCATTACGTATATACGAGTAATTTACTTTGTATTTAAATTAATGGTACGTTTAATAGTACGTCAATAGTCATAAAACATATTAAATTTATTATTTTAAAAATAAATTTATGCATTAATATTATTCAAGTTATCAATTTAATTCATTTAATATTAAAAGTGTTATATGAGTTTCATATGTTTTTAGTGCGAGAGCCATCAAGTGGTCAGGGAAAAATGGAATGGTTTGACAGTAGTACTACTGAAATAGAAGTTTAAACAGATAAAATATATGTGTTTATATATATACGCATTCTAAACATAGAATTTATTAACTATTATATGGAGTTTCATAAAGTTTGGTGAAAAGTATGTTCCATATGAATTTAGAAGAAATAAAATTGATGGAAAGTGAGTAATCTCTTATAAACATAAAGTTTGTCAATGAGATGGGGAATAGTGTTTTTAGTAGTAAGGTGAAATTCTTTGTTGTGAGGTGCATTTTAGATTAAATTAACTAACATTTTTTTAGAGCTAATAGTGATTTTCACAGAAAGTTTAGAAAAATGTCTTTGTTTTAACGGCTAAATTACACGTTTGGTCACTCAAATTATACAAATCTTTCATATTTACCACCCGAATTACTTTTCTTTCTTATTCGCCACTAACTTTATGAATTGTTTCACAATTAGTTACCGGCCGTTACTCTCCGTTAAGTTTGTCCTATGTGGCAGTCAATTATCAAAGTTTGACTGTTAACTAGGTGACGTGGAAATTAAAAAAATTCAAAAATAAATAAATTTTTTCACTTCATCATTCCACTTAGGCACTTACTTTGTTTATATGATTTATTGTATTAATTATTTATAAAAATTAATTAAACTAAAAAATTTAATATCGCAGCAGGAGCTCTTGCTCTGGTTCCCCATGGACAAGCAATTCATTTTCTCCATGTACGAGATCCCCGACTAATGTATCGACGGCGACAACGGAGGTGGTGATGCTGTGGTTGCCGGCGGTGTTGTTCCCTTCACCGAGCTTCAAATCCCGTTGTTAACGGCGACGAATGCACAATCTGAATCCAAGTGCCCCGAGTCCATATAATTATCGGCCAATTTATTGTTGTCGTTGTTGCTCTGCGAGTACTGATCTTTCTCCTTCTTGTCCATCTAGCGCTTCTGATCCTCTTTGTCGTCCTCATAATCCTCCTCCTAGATCCGGTGATGATCCTGATGTCGAGGAATGGGTACATCTGGGTCTGGTGCTTCGCGATTACGACTCGCTGGGATTTGACCCGAACAGAGACTTA